AGTACCAGGGGCTCTTAATCAAGGCAGCACCCTCAGCCCTGAGCCTTCCTCCCCCTTCCAGGTTGACATTCCCCCTTCCCACCTGTGAGAGTCACAGCACTTTACTTTGTTTACAAACACTTTATTTTTCTGAACAAGAGTATTTTAGTTTTTCAAAATATCAACAGTGAAATAAACTGTAAACATTTCCTCATCAACACCTGTCTCTGTTCTCAGTGTGTGATGAATGAGTACAATGTGTGAATGTGGGGAGGGGTTTTGAGGAGGAAGGGACATGGAGCAATCCCACCTTTGGAAGGGCCTGGGGAAAATCATTGGTCTCCTTGGGAGAATTGCTCCCTCAGGGCTTCTCGAATGCGCAAGACCAACTGGTGGGCTTGCCATAGGGCAGCTGTCTGGGGCTGCTCAAAGTGCCTCCCCTCCACATCAGCCCGTGTCCCCCACACAGGAAGAAAGACCTCCCCTTTCCTCTATTATTGTTCCTGCCTGCAGCCATCTTTAAAAGGCACAGGCACCCAGGAATTACCATTCTGGCAGAAAGCCCCACCACCCAGACGGCTGCAGGAAATCCGTTTGCATTGGTGCACGTATTTGGACCTGGTGCACCAGCACATCTCAGTTCTGCAAGGGATGCAGGACGCAATGAACTGGAGGATAGAGGCAGAGTGGTGCAGGCACTTGCTGGAGGAATTTGCCCAGCAGTGCACTGAGATTTGCGCTGCTATCTGGGAGGCCATGGCCTTCCCTGGTCCTATGCCTGGTCCTGCTCAGCCTGCCGCCATCAGCCCCTGTCCCCCCCCTCAGCCCCTGCCAACCCAGACCCAGGTACAGCCCCATCTCAGCCCAAGCCCCTACTGTCCCAGCCCGCATGTGCGGCCGTGTGCAGGAAGGCCTCTGCAACCAAAGTGCCAGGGGCTCTTATCTTTAAAAGGCACAGGCACCCAGGAATTACCATTCTGGCAGAAAGCCCCACCACCCAGACGGCTGCAGGAAATCCGTTTGCATTGGTTGCCAACCCAGACCCAGGTACAGCCCCATCTCAGCCCAAGCCCCTACTGTCCCAGCCCGCATGTGCGGCCGTGTGCAGGAAGGCCTCTGCAACCAAAGTACCAGGGGCTCTTAATCAAGGCAGCACCCTCAGCCCTGAGCCTTCCTCCCCCTTCCAGGTTGACATTCCCCCTTCCCACCTGTGAGAGTCACAGCACTTTACTTTGTTTACAAACACTTTATTTTTCTGAACAAGAGTATTTTAGTTTTTCAAAATATCAACAGTGAAATAAACTGTAAACATTTCCTCATCAACACCTGTCTCTGTTCTCAGTGTGTGATGAATGAGTACAATGTGTGAATGTGGGGAGGGGTTTTGAGGAGGAAGGGACATGGAGCAATCCCACCTTTGGAAGGGGGTGCTCCCCCACCTCTCCCCTCCCAGAGCCTGAGAGCCCCTCCTCAGGCAACCCCGCTGTGCCCCCCGCATCACCACAGCGTGAGGCCAGGCAGCATTTTAACACTCCCACCCCATCTCCCATTCCCTGTGCCCGGTCCTGACCATCCCCTTTCTCTGCCCACCCCCACCTCCATGGACTATCCCCCGAGAGTGACTTACCTCCATCAAAACGGCCCCGACGGTAGATGTCCTCATGCCAAACTGATGCCCCATGGAGCGGTAGCGGTGGCCAGCTTCCATAGAGCAATAGCGATGCGCTTCTCCAGGGGGATGGTGGGCCGCAAGCAGGTGTCCTGGCGTTGCAGAGCAGGGGCAAGCCAGGCACATCTGCATCTGGAAGTTTTGGAGCCACTGGTCGTCGTCCCACTGCTGTATAACGAGCTGATCCCACCAGTCAGAACTGGTGTCTAGCCTCCAAACTCACCTCTCCATGACTAAATTCGGGGACAAGGGCAGTAGGGCTGCAGCCTGAGTGGGAGGCTCAAAGCGGGCCCCTGAATCTAGCTCTTCCGCACACATTATGATGCTCTCATGAGCATGCAGCAGAACTTCCAGCAGCACGGTGTGGGGCCATCGCCTGCCATGGGGCAGATCAGGCTCGATGGCCAAAAGAGCAAAAAACCAAACCTGAAAATAAACTGCTGTGGTGTCCGAGGAAGCAGGGAAACCAGAGCAAAAACTGCATCAGCTTTGCTTTCCCTCTAGGAGGTAGGCAAGTCAGAAGCAGGAGCAGAGCAACGGCTGAATTCAAATCCCGGGCTTCATTTGCAAGTGCGGTATGCCTACATTACCCCGCTAGTTCGAACTAGGAGGGTAGTGTAGACATACCCTGACTTACCTCCATCAAGACAGCCCTGACAGTAGACCTTCCCACACCAAACTGATTCCTACAGAGCGGTAGCTGTTGGGAATGACCAGTTTCCACAGAGCAATAGCAATGCACAGGGCTCGACAAACTGCAGTGAGATCTACTCGCCAGACCAGCACTGCGCATGTGCACAGCACCGATGAACGGGGCGAACAGAGCTACCAGCTGAAATCTACTCGCCATGGGCGAGCAGAAACAGCGATTTGTTGAGCCCTGGCAATGCACTTCTACAGAGGGATAAAAACGGCCCCGACGGTAGACCTCCTCACACAAATCTGGTGTCCTACGGAGTGTTAGTGGTCGGGGGTGGCCAGCTTCCACAGGGCGATTGCGACCTGCTTCTGCAGGGGGATGGCGGGCCGCAGGTGGGTGTCCTGGTGTTCCAGAGCAGGGGCGAGCCAGGCACCCAGCTCCAGGAATGTGGCCTTCTGCATCCGGAAGTTGCGGAGCCAGGGGTCGTTGTCCCAGAGCTGCATGACAAGCTGGTCCCACCAGTCCGAACTCATCTTGTGCCTCTAAATCTGCCTGTCCCCAAAAAAGTTTGGGGACAAGGACAGAGCTCCTGCATCCCGGAGGAGGGTCTCAGTGTGGTCCGGGTCCATATGGGGCAGGAGCTTCATGACAGAGTCATGAAGATGCAGAAGCTGCAGCATGACAGTGTGGGGCCATTGCCTGCCCAGGGGCAGCTCAGGCTCTATGGCCAAAAACACAGTGCAAAGCACAAAACCAAACCTGAAAATAAACTGCTGTGGTGTCCGAAGAAGCAGAGCAACCAGAGCAAAAACTGCAGCAGCTTTGCTTTTCCTCTAGGAGGTAGGCAAGCCAGAAACAGGAGCAAAGCAATGGCTGTCCAGGAGGATCCCTTTAAGAACGCGTCTCTGCAAAGAGCATGCAGCAGCATCTGGACTTCAAGGCTGCCCCTGTGACGTGCCAGAAGCACTTCCGGGTGCCTTCTTTTGTCGACAAAGCGTCCGCCAGTCTGGACGCTCTTTGTCCACAAAGCGGATCAATTTTTCGATCCGCGTAATGCAGTCTAGACGCTCTTTGTCAACAGAGGCTTTGTTGACAGAAAGCCTGTAGTCTAGACATACCCCCTGAGAGCACAGAGCCAGGCAAATCTCTGAACTGGGGTCACACAGAAGTTTCCAGCTGACTTTGGTTACATGTCAATAGAAAGACTGAAAGCACAGAGGGCATTTGAGTTATTTCTGTCTTCTCTGTGAGCCAGACGGCAACAACAGCCACTTCCCATCCCTCTACACTGGCAGAACGAGTTACCTGTGCTGGGAAGCAAACTTGGATTTTACGCTTGGGGGGGGTCAGTGCATTAATCGCAGAGCGACAGGCCACCTTTGCTAGTGTAACTCTCTGCTCCAGCCCGAACGAGTATTGGCAAGTGATGCTCATCAATATGCATCTTCCATTCAGATGGGCACATCTGGTACAGTCTATTCCAGCCTATGTTTGGCACTGAAGAGATCAAAGGGATCCTGCAGAGAATCCCTTCCGCTTGGTACTCACGTCCCAATTGATGGCTGGAAGCAAGGCGGGTATGAGTGCTGTATGAACAGTGGACAGCAGCCTTAAGCTCCCTGGTAACGGCAGTGATTTGAATATATATTGAAAAAATCTCCCAACATGTAAAAAGGGCTGGAGGGGGGAAAAGAGGAGAGGGGGAAGCTGGTGCTGGCGAGATGGGAGGGGTGTCATTTGCTTATCACTATTCCTCCTCCTTCAATAAATGTAATTAGCCAAAAGACACACACACTTCCCAAGGCTGTGGAGAACCAGAGTCTCTGGGGAGGGTCAAAGCAAGAGAGTGGAAGAGAAGAAAGTCTGACAGGAATGAATGAAGAGTATGCAGCTACAAAAGGTAAACAGAGCAAGAGAAAAAAAAACAAGTGAGAGAAGGGAAAGAAAAGTTAATGCAAAAGGAGGAGAGAAGATTCTTCACTGGAGAGGCAGCTAATGGTTTATTAAGAGGAGATGGGTCGGGAAGCCATCATCAGGCCTTCCACAATTATGGCACGTATCCCAGGTCTGGCTCTTCCGGATGCAACTCATTTCTCTCCAGGGTAATGCAGGCTGCCTCATGCACCTGATCCCCCATTAACTGTCACACGCTGATGATACTGTCAACTGGAGCATAGCCTCTAAGGGAAACCGAAACGTTAACCCTCCCTGAACTGGCAACATAGGGAGGAAACGCTCTGCAGGATGCATATAGCTGGGAGCACAGTGTCATTTTGGCACTGAATTAGTTTGTAGTACCTAATTCAGGAGCAGAAGAATGGGTATTGGGGGGAGGAAATTGGTCCTCAAAAGTCATTGTAAACGTTGATAGCCTGAGAAATGTACCCAGTGAGGTCTATTACTGCACAATTAAATGATGCCCAGTCCTTTCCAGCTAGAGCACCCAAAGGAACTGGGTGAGAATTTGGGAAATCCTGGCAGCCAAGCCAGCTAAGACTCACACTCTGCAACCCTTACTCTGCATGTCACCACCTATTGGTATTAACCTAGGTGGTGAAACAACCATGTCATTCCACCTGCACCTTCATGTGATGTCATCGCAACATCACAAATGGCATCACAGCATAAAGGCAGGACATTGTGACATCATGAGTCCTGAAACAAATGTATGACTCTTGTACTGAATATAGATTTGCGAGGTCTAGGCCAGTCGGGACCATTGTATGCATTGCAGGCTGGGAGATATCCATCTGGAAGGAAGAAGAATGATGTATGTCTCTCCCAGAGTAGTTAGAACTCAGCAAAGTTAAATGATGTCCAAGGGAATCACATCTTTGGCCCAAGGAAGCTTTAATGCCAGGGTAGGATACGTGGGAAGGGAGAAAAGGAGTCTAAAAGAGAATCCAAGGAGGAAGAAAAACCACAGTAATTGGCTCTTACCTTGCAGTTCTTCAAGGATCCCATTCCCAGCCTTGGAATAACATCTACCCTTATTGGCTGGAAATCTTTCATACCATCAATCCATCATCTTTCTCTTTTTTTATCCATCTCTCTCTGTATCAGAATTTTCTAATCCACATGATAGGATAGTATTGAAGTATCAATCATTATCCTCCCGTGCTTCACTCTGACATCTCCAAGATGTAGACCTCCTTACACTGCCATTTAGTACCTCTGTCCTTGGTCATACAAATACCAGTCCAAGTCCCAGGGACTCATGAGTACTACTTTCTCTTCTTTATCACTTACATTAATCGCCCTTGCTTCGCTATCCTTCCTTTGCCTGAAGGTGAGACCCATGGAGGGAGGGCTAACACAGGGTATGTGACTGTAAGAGGGTAACTCAGGCTATGTCTAGACTGCAGGCATCTTTTGGAAGAAGCTTTTCCAGAAGGGATCTTCTGAAAAAACTTCTTCCAAAAGAGAGCATCCACACTGATGAAATGCATTGAAAAAGCGATCTGCTTTTTCGACAGATAGTGACCACTCTCAATGGACGCTATCTCGCATGTAAGCTGTGATTACTATGGGCAGAACGGCCACCAGAGCACCTGTGCTTTTTCCTCTTTCCTTTTCTATCGAAAGAACTCCCTCCTCCCCATCCACACATGCCTTTTTCCTCAAGAGCTCTTTCAGGGAAGGCCTTCTTCCTCATAGGAAGAGGTTTACCAATGTTGGAAAAACCCCTCTGTTTCAGAGGGTTTTTCCGAAAGAACTCTATTGCAGTGTGGACGTAAGTGAGGTTTTTTTGGAAAAACGGTCATTTTTCCAAAAAAACTCTGTAGTGTAGACATACCCCCAGTTACAACAAAAAACATGATTATATCAGAAAGTGAGCACACACCTCATCCGACTATGTCTAGCACCCTGTAGATTCATCCCTAATGGGGACCCATTCCTGTAGCCAGATTTCCATGCAAACATTTAACTGTATTGCTAAGATCTTCTGTGTGTGAGGAGAATGAGAGTAAGAGAGCAAGAAACTTAGAGAACCAAGCAGCCTGTTTAATTGAATATTCCCTTCTAAATCTTTGTTTTATTTGAGGATGGGACAGGTAACTACAGCATAAAATTAAAGTGGGTTCCGGAGCATGAGCCAGAGCAGAGCTCTGGAAGCAGCCTGGTGTTTCAATGGGTTCATTCTTATTCATTACCTGCTCCAGAGGCAGCATCTTCATGTTGCTCTAAATTGTTGTTCTCTCTCCCTGCTTTCTCTGCCCCCACATTGTATCTGGTCTGCAGACAACTCACTTAAAAGCTTAATGGACACCAGTGAGACTGATTTAACACTTCTGAAGAATGGCTGGAAGTATGATACTAAGGTTCTGAGAGAGAGAGACAGAGAGAGAGAGAGAGAGAGAGAGAGAGAGAGAGAGAGACACGAACGCGCGCGCATGCACACACATGCATGAGGCAGAGCATAGTGAGTGATTATTATTTGCTTCCAAGGGATAGTGTAAGGAATTTTGAGGCTGAAAGACAAGATGGAAGCACCATTACTTAGGTAATAATTGCTGGGGGTTAATGACTGACTGGGAGTAGTTGATGTCCTCAAGTGAACCTAAGGGACAGTCAGTCCTTTGCCCTGTGAAATGTTGCAAATTGAGGTAGTTACTACTGTAGTTATAAGATGGAAATGAACAACAAAGAATAATGAGCACATGGACTTTTTCTTTTAGTAAGATTATATCTGTGCAGAGCACAATGCCCATGTACATTAGCAAATCAGATGACTAGAATCTTCTTGCCAGTCTTTCACAGGAAGTGTACCTTGTGGTTGGAGCAGGGAGTGGGAATCAACTTCCAATTCTACAAAGGAAGAATTATCAAGCAATTAAACAGGGGGACTGGGAGTCACAACTTTGAGCTTTCATTTTTGACAGTCAGATTTGTTGCATGATCAGGGGTAAGTTACCCATCTGCACCTGAGTTTCTCCATTGTAAAAAGATCATTGGTGGCTTGTGAAATTAATTGGTTTATGTAATATGCAACTTCTTTCCTCACAGAGAGGAAAATGGAAGCCTCTTTTAGCTGCATAGGCCAAAACATTTGATGCTGGAATAGGTAGTGTCATTTTCAAAACTGCATAAGTGACTTGGGACTTAGGCTCTTAAATTACTGAGGGCTTGTCCTAAATCACTGAGGCCTTGTGCACAGCTAGTCAGGAGGTAGATCTACGCTGCACTATATGTTCACACCATGCATTTGCTGTGACTAAGTTGTCATGTGGTAAAGCCTTGAGGTGCTTTTGGAATTCCCACCTTTGTATCCTCCTTTGGACATCCAATTACATGGCCTAATTTCCAGAGGTACTGAAGCTCCAGCATTTAGGTACCTACACAGGGACTTAGGTGATTAATTTTAAGCACCCATAATTGAAAATTTGGCATGTGTAAGATGCATGGGGCTTATCTGCACTGGGATTTTGCCACAATACAGCAATTATAATTGCCCTGGTGCAAACCCCACTTGTTGACAAGCAAAGCTAAACTTTGTGCTGAGACTGTCCATTGGTTGCTACATTCAGGGCAAAGTCCCAGTGCAGACAAGGCGTATGGTAAATGGAGCAATTTATATTACAGACCCAGAAACTACAGTAAATGTTTAAAAGTCAAGCCCATGAAAGCTGGGAAACTATGGAATTAAGATTGCCTTGAAATCATGGCCGGTCCACAACATTTTGGCACCTGAGGCGGGGAGCTCAAATGATGCCCCCTCTCTAGAACAGAGCGAATACATATGCACCAGCAGCAGACACAATTTTCTACACTGTGGGTCCTAGTGGCGCCCCACCCCACCCCAGTCTGGCACCTGAGGCGGCCGCCTCAGTTCACCTCATGGTAAGGCCAGCCCTGCTTGCAATCTTGTTTTGGCCCCTTTGTGCATATGTATTACAATTAAGGCTACATTTTGGTCATGAGTATTGTAATAAGTCAAGGACAGTTCATGGGTAATAAACAAAAATTCATGGCCCGTGATCTGTTCTTTACTTGTATGATATACCCTGAACTAGACCTTGGGTGCTGGGGGGCAAGGGACAGGCCAAGGGTGTAGCTAGTGCTCTGGGGCAGGATGGCTGTAGACCCCTGCTGCAGCTGGGAGGAAGTGGCCCATGCATCCAGTTCAGGTGCAACCAAGCTGCTCAGGTGGCCCCCCAGCCAGCCACACTGGCCACTGCACAGGCTCTGGAGGTCATGGAAGGTTACAGAATCTGTGACTTCCATGATCTCTGTGAAAGACTCATAACCTTAATTATCACACAGTCTTTAATTACATGATCAGATTTATTTCTGCTGCTACCCATCCTATTCCTGCCCCCTTCCCCACTCTGTTTCTAGCCAACTCTCAGGAGACACCGTTTTTCTGCTCTGTGTTAGTGTTCCTAACACCCTAGCAGCTGGTGGCAGACAGGACGACCCATTACTGGGAAAGACCTGCAACGTGGCTTGGAACATGTTCATTTGTTGTGTGGGGATGATGCATATGCAGTCAGCACATCAGTGTTATGAGGGGAGAATACTCTGTGCAGACAGAATTGCTGGAGTTATTAGCTGCTAAATGGATGAAAGTTTTTAAAACTAAATCAATCTAAGTCAGATACCCAGCCTGGAAACTTTCAGCCCAAACAGTTAATATCATAAATAACTTGAAACAATCTACTATAGATTTGAGAGAGTTTGTCTGTCTGTTTGTTCAGGAACTCCTCCTAATCGTTAAGAGCTAGGACCATCAATTTTGGAATATAGCTTCCTCTTACCATAATTTCAAGCAAGGCAAGGGTTTGATTGTGCCAGGAAAAAGGGATGTGCCTGGAACAGGATTGCTTCTCATAAAACCATACATAAAAGAGACAGAATTACCAGGCAGGTAAAAGGAGCTGGCTGGAGCAGCGGGAGGGGGCGGGGGGAGGGGAAGGAGGGGTGTCCCCTCCCCACCTGGGACTGCCCCAGCTCTGAGTCTCTCACTTCCCGGGCACCCTTTAGGGGGCTGGAGCTTTCCCCCACAATTCGTATGGGAACATTTTTGTCTATTTCCCTTCATCAGGAAGTGAGGGGAAAGTGCACAGTTTGTTGCATTCCTCACTCTGGCTAGGGAGCACAAGGGACAGACAAATCCAGACCTGCCCCAAGTCCTCCCCGAGCTGTGCCCACTGGAGCTGCAGCAGCCATGGAGAAGTGATTCTCACTTGGTCCCAAGCTTCTGCAGTGAGAGGGCTGGGGTTGTCCTCTCTCCCCAGGGACACCTTGCAGACTTATTCCTAGCCCACTCCAGAGCAATACATTTTTCAAAAAACAAAAATTAATTGAGTTAAGGACCTGCACAACACGGGGTAAATCTTCTAGTGTCTTATGATGGGAATGGTCAAGCCACCAAAACTCTAGGAAACATAGAAAACATTCCTGTGATAGAACAGTTCACTTTGGAATGGACAAAGGCCATCAGGATCCTCTGTATATTTGAGGTCAATTATTTTAATAAAGGCAGTAAGAAGAAAAAGCTCTGGTTAAATATGATTAGTTAATTATGGTTGTTATTATGGAACTTGTATTTCAAATACAATTGGATAAAGCATCCACACTGTAAAGAGAAAACAGTACACCTAAAAAGCATTTCCAGAGGTTGCTCTCTACACAAACCAGCTTGGGGGTGGAAGTGAGCGAACATCCCATCCACCAGCAATTCCTCCTGGCAGATGTGGGGAGCTCCAAGTGTCTCTATTTGAGATTAACTTCTTGCTCATTACACTGTCTGAAAGCAGCCTCTAATCTGCTCCTAGCCCTGCCCTTGTTCCCCCTAGCGAGCAATGGACCTTGGGAACCTGACATTTGTTACTCATTCAAGTGTGGCTCTGAGTGAACGGATCAAGAGCAACTGGCCCTCCTATGGATCCACATGGCAGAGATTGATTTACTTATAAAGGGGTTTGGCTGGTAGATTAGTGGAGCCACTGGACTGTGCTGTACTCCATGCGGCATGGGCATGGCACACAAACAGCACTGAGCAGCCGAATGGCTTTGCTAATCCGCCCACATTGATCTAGCAGCACTAACATTTGCAAGCATGTTTTCATTTCCATTTCTGATTTTCAGCTAACAGAGTGATGAGCAGGGGAAGGTGCCATCTGTAGTGTGTGATGCCATCCTTGACCAAAACACTGCCATCCATGGCCAGTTCCACTTGGGTCTGAGTCTTCATCATCCATGCTTGATTCCTAGCTGCCCCACACATGCTTTTGCACAAACAATGACTTTCCGAATGAGAAGCCATTCCCCTCCGTGCAGAACAATCTGTCCCACATCTATCCTCAGAGAGTCCTTGCCCAGAGCTCAGTGCTAATGCATTAGGAACACTGCTGTGCTCTGCCTTGTGGAAGGAGAGGCAGCAGACTGGGGGACCTTGGTGTAATGGGACCTACTTCCAGTTAATTGCCCCTGCAGGGACAGGCAGGAGGTTCCATATGCTGAAGTCAAACCTCCTCCCCCTACCTGCTACCCTGGGCCTCAGGCCCTTTCTTGTGTGCATGCGAGAGAGACAGAGGGTGCACCAGGGGAGATGCAGAACTGGCTTAGAGTGATGGGTACCAGCTTGCAAGAGGCAGGGAAGAGGAGGATCAAGGAGAGATTGGGCCCTGTCATTGCCCTTCCATGGGAGGGGGGCTATTGCTCCAGATTCTCTCCCAACCAGAGCATCCCCAGTATTTTCAGGCTAACTCCCCTTCTCATCCCTCCCTCTTCCCCTCCCCCCACCATTGCCTGCTGTCGCACTGTTAAATAGTCTTCAAACATAAATGTCCAGCAATTTGTGCTAATCCCTGCCCAGTTCTGCAGCACTGACAGGACATTCAACAGTTCGCATCCAAATTAGCACTGACAGGACATTCAACAGTTCGCATTCAGTCACCTCCAAATTTTTAATAATGGTGTTACTGCTCTTGTGGGGAAATGGCTCCCGTCCTGGTCCCACTCCGCATACATCACTGCAGTTTTAACCTACACCCTGACAACATGACCTGATGCCACCTTATCCAGCCCCAAACCAACCGCATCCCTTAATCCTCCTTGTGTCTCGGTCCCCTTCTCAGTCTCTCTGCGGCACGTTCACATTCTCTGCCCTCCCATTTCCTCCCCCTCCCTACACCAACCCTATTTATCAATCCCCCCCTCTCTTCATCTGGGTATTTATGCCACACTCCTCTCTGTTGTATCACATGTAGATGATACAACTCTGTTCACACACAGCTCATCCTTCTGCTTTCTCATCTTCTTTTCCTTCATTGTATTTGTGTTATCCCTCCTGGTACTGCATTTAGACCCAGAAAGGAGCACCCAGGGTTTACAGGACCAGGCAGTAATTCTTAGTAAGGATGTAGATGGGGCATTTGCACATAACCCCTCCTGAGGTAGCTGCATGACTCAGCTATGAAGAATCTGTACTTAACATAGCCATGTGCAAGGGGGCTGTCAACAGATTCATCATCTTCAAACATATCCTCAGAGGAAATGGGCACCAAAGAGGGTTGGAGAGAGAACATGGTGGTGTTCTAAATTGGCCTGACAGCTTCCTTGTCTGCCATTACCAAGATGGAAAGCTCACTGAGCTGGAAAAAGGGGAGTTGCATCTCATGACATGATACGCAGGCAGAAGAACTTTCTCTTTTTAATCTGTGCAATAAAGGGAGGGAATCTTTTCTGGTAAAAGAGTTATGTGTAGGACGTGCTGTGGGGAATGACAATCTCTTGAATAACTGGTGTTGCTCAACTTCCTAGCTGACCCACAGGATATTTCCCAGCATAGAGAGATGGGGGAGATGCTCACAGACCATGACAGAAGGACTTGAGATGAGAGAGTCAAGAGTTCCACTCAGCTTTTCCCATTCCTCTTGTTTGATTAATTACATCATAAAA